ACAAACTATCATAGCATATACAAAGATTTAAATTTTGTAGATTTTTATTGGTTTGAAAATCATTGCGCAATTTGGATTGGTGGTGAATACGCTTATTCAAAAAAGTGTATTATTAATATTGCTTGTGAGCGCCTTTAACAATCCGTGAATGTTTATAGAATTCCGGAAATTCTCGGAAATTTATTATTATCATTACTTAGTTTGGTAATTAAAATTTCTGTATAATATTTACCATCTTGTCCAAATTTAATTATTATTATGTTTTTTGCGTAAACACGTAAACAGCAACACTAGCAGTATTATTGGCACAACACAAAAATATGATAATGAAATCACATTGTCAATATTAACAATTATTTTGTTTGAAAAAAAAGCGAATTAAAAGAACCCTCTTTTCAAAAAAGGTCTTTCGTTAATATTATAATAAAATTATTTTTTCAAAATTAATATTACGTATGCGAAATGTTATATATATATTAATTAATATTACTATATAATAGTATAACCTTTATATTCATTTATCTATTTATATTAATGCTAGTCATAACAAGATTATGTTGTTAAAAAAATATCTATATTAATGTTATACACATGTAAACTCGATAAATAGGACGCACCAATCAATTGTTTAAAGTACTTGATAATATAAATAAATGACCGACTTATCAAGTTTATATGTGTGTGTATATAAAAATTAGTTAAAAATTTACAGTGAAGATTTGGATAAAGTGTAAAGAATAATAAATATTAATTATCGGCTGATTCATTCGCCGAAGTCAAACGATACGACTTATCTTGTGAATAAACTATATCAAATGGCCAAGAAATTTTTTGATTGTAGCTGCCATCATCATTATATTCTTTGAAAATGGAATTGGATATGATTCCAAAATCCAGTATACTAAGTGGCAACAACATTTTTGGATTTCTAGTTGTCAAGATGGGCATTAACATAAAGCATGTCAATAATATTGCGAATATTAAAACAGTAAGCTCTACCCAAAGCCCCGGAGCCGTTAATATCTCCTTCTTATCAACATCAACACTGACATTGTTCATCATAGTTTGTATAGATGATGCCAACGACTGTGACAAGGTATCACCAAACTGATCTAACAAATTGTAACTGTGGTTGCTTCCTTGGAATCTGATAAATTTGTTGAAAAATGTGAAGGGATTGATTTATTAAGGAAAAATGGTATTGAGGTTGTTTCTGTGTCGAGTTTAGAAGATGAATGTTTAAAACCAAATAAACATGTTTTGCAATAATATATAAAGAATGATGTAAAAATAGCGTGATGAAAGAGATATGGATGGATGGATAAGAGAGCGAGAAAATGAAATTTAATTTATTTAGTTGAGGTAAAAATAAAAAAACTAATAATATCAATATTATGATATTTCAAGTATTTCAAGAATGTTGATATATATATATAATTACAATTAAAATATAACAAAATTTTTAATTAATTTTTTGGGAGGGTTATCATCAACATACTCTCAACGTCTCATATTCAAATGCACTGCCGTCTAATGTCCAATAACTTAACTTTCTTCAATGTCGACAGAAGAAAAGAAAATTTCAATTAAATGATAATTTGAAAAATTAAAATTTTTCTGTTGCACCAAGTATTTCTAAATTATTATAAACAAAATCTCTTTTTTGAACAAAATAGATAACTTTATTTTGTTCTTGATTGATAATCTATAGAACAAAGTTAGTTCATTTAGCCTTAAAAAAAATATTGACCTTTTTACGCTCTAAAATAGTATTTGTTGACGTCGAAGAAAAAAGAATCACAAACAGAAACGTTAACACGCATGTTAGTTGATACTTTGATAAGGAAAAAAAAACATTCATTTATAAGAATATTCTTTATATCTGTTGTGCGTGAAAATGAATTTGCGATTCACGTATGTGAAATTTCATATCCAAACACCCCCACCCCAAAATTTTAATTATAAATTTCGACTTCACATAGTTTCAATTTCGCATACAACATATCTATATCTTTGAACTATGTAATGTCCAAATTGACCGATCATCAGTGTAGGAGGAGGTAATGAATGTAATTCATCAAGGATATGACTTTTTTTTTTATAATCATAAGCATAGAAATATTTTAAAACATCCGAGATAAAAGGAGGGGGGTCATAAATTCATTATTATCAAACTTATCATCGAGAGTAACGAGCGGTTTTCCTCCATTGTATAAAACAAACATGAAATGTCACCTAAACTTGTTTGTAAAAGAAAGTAACGATAACTTTAATAATAATAAGTAGAAAGTATCGTACAATGATAATAAACAGGTCTGTTTACATTTCCTTTTTGGATGTTTAACAGGAAAAACAGCAAGCTACACATCATTTAGTTCGGGTAACAAACAACGTGTGTTATCGGCTCTTTTCATTTCTAATCTGATTCTTGGATAAAAAACATTTATACCAAACTTTCTTTATTTTATCAGTGTTTTTATAATCTAGGGAATCCTTAACGGGTTTAGTAGTTTCGACAGGCTGAATTTATAATTCATAACAAGACTTTAAACAACATCAAATAAAAAAATATCAAGAACACAATCTCCTTCTTCTATGTGTTTAAATATTTCAATTCAAAGCTCACATCTACAATCTACCATTCCATTATTTTTTATATACTGTATTATTAATTAATTTTAAAATCATCAATTATGTGCAAAATATATATTTCTACTTTAATTATAACAAATTTTTGCAGTCCAATTTTAAGTTTGTGAGCTCGATCACTTCATAATGTTAGATATCTGAATTAGACCTAAATTTCTGTGATGTATAATTTCAACTGTTTTTTCTTCATCTTCTAAATCTATTACCCCATTTTTATAACCCTAGCAGGCTGAAAACTAGTAGTATACGCATAGACTTCCTAAATCATTAACAAGCATTTAGCATTATTTATATCATTATGAGATTTTTGTAGCAAACATTTCATGTGTTTAATCACCTTCTTTGATGGCATTTTTCAATCACATTATAAATTATCTGTATGCTAGTATTTGAAGTATCAAAATGTTCTCCAAAATAATTTCTTTAGTTTAAATTGTGGCATTTGGACAAAGCCGTAAATGGTTTTCACATCTAGATACTGAACTAGCGCATTGATGTTGTTGAGCTTTTGCAATGTAGACAGTCATTCAAAACGTAATTGCTTATGACATTAACATTACCAATGTGTTTAAAATGTTACCAAATTGCACTTTGATAAGTTTAAAATACTGCATATATAATATTTAATTAATTTTTATGTGTAACATCACATCTATTATTTGGCAATAACCTAAACAGGAATTGATTTAATTGATTTACATCTGCTACTATATAGTTCTATATAGAACTATACACACTATACTGATCTGCCCATCACTAGGAAAGGTCATATGGAACAAAGGAAGCCGGCTCAGTCAATGAAAAGAAAAGTTGATTTGATGAATATTTTTTTACGTGTTGATTAAAAATTAAAAGATTTATCACATGAAACTTGTTATAAAAAAAGTTATAACTTAAATGTTAAGGAATGGCTTGACGACAAAATAATACTAAATTTGCAAAGTCCTTGAAATCCATATAAAAAATTTCTGGTCAATTTGTAATAAAAATAAATAATATAATAATCCCGCGCAATAAAAAGTAGTACATGATTTCATTTGACTGCAAAGCAGAAGGATCAAGATATAAAAATTCGACACATTATTTAGATCAAAGTCGTTGTTTAATTATATATAGAATGACACTCGGTAATATACTGTTTATGGAAATAGCGTAAAAAAAAAATTGTATCAGTACAATATATAACAAATTTGCAACAGACTTTAATTCAGCGGTTACTTCTGAACAAAATTATTAGGTCTATAGGCAAGTGGTGACGATTTACCAACAGTGAATTTTAAGCATCTGAAAATCACCAGTCATTAAAAAATATTATCATAATGACCACCACAGCAACCATTAGTATGTTTAAGAAATCCAAAATTTACTTCTTTGGGTATTTCAGAATCTCGATATACCATTCATTCATTCCGTAATTGATAATTTTCAAATAGATTGTAAAAAACTAACATTTCTGCTAGAATCCGAGAACGAGTCGTTGCAAGAAAAAGTGTGTTAGTATTATATCATCTATCCCATAGGTTTATTAGATTTGACAACAATTTAAAGGTCGGCGCAGTCACGAAATACATATAAATTTGGTTTTATCTATTGAGATTCAACTTTTTAAAGAGATTAGTTGCATTTGTT